AGGAAGGAAGGAAGGAAGGAAGGAAGGAAGGAAGGAAGGAAGGAAGGAAGGAAGGAAGGAAGGAAGGAAGAAAGGGATTCTCAGAACCGACGTACCACCTAAATAACCCAGAGCTTGACTTTTTTGAAGGAGCTGAGCTCTTCTTGGCAGAGTTCGTTTTTGGAGAAAACATTTTCGACCTTTGAATTATAAAATAACAAAAGAGTATAAAAAAGTACAAGCGGGTCTGAAATTGTATAATTCCTCAGGTTTAACAATAGTTTTCGTAAACCCTAAAATCATACAAGGGACTGTATTTGCAAGTTTTATTGTACCTTGGAGCATCTGTATAGCCTGAAGACTTGACTTTAGACTTGAAAGTTAATGGTTGATCTTGAGCTAATGATGTCTTCCCCTTGGTGGACGGTCCTGAAATTAGACACAAATAGAAGAGGTGGTTCTAAAAATAACAAACACTAAATACAAAATAGAAGAATACAAAATGAATGACGTGTTAATTATTAACTATTCTCTTATAGGTGTTTAATTCTCACTTATTAGTTAAGTGTCAGCACACTAGTAACATCTAGAAAGCAGTAATGTAATTAAGGAAAGTGTAATGGTGGTCACTGGAAACTTGACGATGGACTTCCCAATCCTCCATTTTACAGTTTTGGTCAGTGATCAGGAATAATAGTTAGAGAGATAGATAGATAGACACCTTTATTTAAACTTAAATAAAATAACAACAGGGTAGTCCAGTCAGTGGCAAAATGCTTCTGCTATCAAAAGGAGCCCTGTTAAACATATACACAATATACAATAGAAAATAGAAACTAAAAGGAAGATAGATATAATACTATTAATCTGCAATATTCCAAGTTTCAAGTCAAGGCTTCTGCACATAGAAAAAGTATAGTTTATCATATGAAGCAACTCCAACCTCAGCTTGGAAGTATTATTCGTGGTCACTGATCAAAACACTGTGAAATGGAGTATTAGCCGGTAGTGTATCCGATCGACGAATTTGCTTTTTAGTAGTTGTTGTATGACTACCTTTTTTGAGTGTTTTCTTGGATGGTGGGATGGAACTCTTGGGAAGAAGTTCAGCTTTCAAAGGTGAATTAGCATGAAGGGGTTCACTGAAAACAGAGGTATTCATGTATATAAATATGAAAAACAAGGAAGATGAGTCAATTTTTTATTGATACCATTGAAAAACCTCTGAGCTGATCTAAGTCAGGAGATAACTTACACATCTCTGGGCTGATCAAAGTCAGGGCATGGTTAACTCACACATCCAACCATGAAACAACCTTTTTGATGTGATCAAAATCAGGGCATGGCTAATTCACAAATCAAATTGGAATTTAGCTTGTTAGCTAAAATTTGTGGAGAGAGGAAAATCGGAGAACTCAGAGAACTCAGAGAATAGCCTTCAAATCACAAGAAAGACAACACATCTCACTGCTTACATGTGACTGCAAGATGCCACAGGTGATAGGCAAGTGTCCCACCGCTAGGCCACCCTCAATTCCCCAAATTAAATGAGTTTTGCTAACCTAGACAAGACAGTAATAACAGAAGTCTCCAGACCAATTACTGCTTTTGCTTCTGGTTTCCTCTCCTCAATGATGTCACAAACACCTTGTGTACCAAGGCCAGAAGATTCTGACAGACGATTGGCAAGCACATCTACTGGATTTGCGTCCTTTTCTAGTTTTGGCATTCTGATGTTAATAATATGTATAGCACTGTTGAACAAGCTTCCAATAACACACTGAACCTGTATTCAAATCAATAAGACAGTTTAAAGTTAGAATATTTCTATAATATGCCCAAAATATTACCTGGCATCAGAAAACAACAAGGTGGGTTGGCAGAGGTGTGTCCATGGGTGGGATTGGGGATAAGGGGAAAGAACAACTAGTTCTTTTAACTAGTAATGTTATTAACTGATATAAACCTGACAGGAAATGTTCTTCTCAGCTCTTGGATTCTCACATTATGGGTGTGTGAGAGTGGGGGGGGGGGGGGGGGGGGGGGGGGGGGGGGGGGGGGGGGGGTGGAGTGTGTGGAGGGAGAGGAGAGGAATGTGAACATGCTTAGTTGAATTATAATAAAATTACATCATGAACTAAATAAATATTAAATGCATGGAAACAAAATAAGTACTTTTACACAATGTACAAATGTTTGGAGGGGAAGGAGGGAGGGGTACCAGGCTAATGTTAATGTTAACCCTTTCACTACTAGAGCAGCCAAAAGTGGCCAACCAGAAATGCTACATTTTTCCTAGAGTGGCCATAAGCAGCCAGCAGAAAGACATTTGATTTTGGCTTTTCAATTACCCATCCGCTAGGACATTTCTCTGTATTGAAACATGTGTGCTATTGTTTATTAGATCATTAACCAATCAGATTCTATCAACTGCTTTGATGCGTGCTATAAGGCCTCAATATCTACTGAGCATATGTTTTTCATTTTGATATTGAGAACTAAAAAACACCCTAATTATGTTCCAGGAAGAGCCTGAGTTGGGCCCTTTTAGCCTCTAGTAGTGAAAGGATTAAGGTTATAGTAGTTCAGCTTGATACAACAACTTTCAATGTGTGGTGACAGAAAAAATCTCCACACCTCTCCAGCATCAAGATAACAGTTAAATAAACCTTATATTTGTGACAGTCTTACCACATTTTGCTCCCTTTCTGTAAAGGCATACAGTCCAGCGGTAGGAAGATGGTATTGAATATTGTCCAGTTCATTACTGGATAGTATTGGTACTACAAAATGAAACATCACAAATACATCACAAGTACATCAAAGATTTGAAAAGTAACTAAGAAAAAGGCTATGATGTAAATAATACTTAAAAAACTCATTAATAATTCATGAAGGAAACACAATAGAAATCATGACCATGAAGGAGGTTTTATATCTGATATAGATTCGTCTTCATTTGCATAAACTTTAACTTGGATTTTCTCTATCAAACTTGGTTCATTTCGTAAAGAATTCGGTACAGTATGAGAACATACATCTGGAGTTTTTTAAGCTGTTTAATAAACTCGCAGATCGTGTTTTATCGGGTCTAAAACCACTCGGCTACGCCTCGTGTTTTATACCCGATAAAACACTCCTGCTCGTTTATTAAACAGTACGTAATGAATTCAATAAATTTCAGTAAATCACCTCTGAAATCCAAAACATGAAGCAGTTCCCATGTGTTACAGTTAACCAATAATACTGATGCTGTCATTCCCACTACAAGAATCGATGGAACATGAAAGATGTCACTATGAAAGAAAAGTTTGGACAACATAGTTTTAGTGGCTACGAATTGGTGTATAATTAGCAATATATAATGAAAAGAGAACATCAAGGGTGGTATAGCTGTAGTGCACTTGCCTCTCACCTCTGGGGTGTCAGGTGTGATTCCTGGATTCGGCATCACATGTGAGTAGAGTCAGTTGGGTCTCTCCCTTGATTGGAGGGTTTTTCTCTGGGTTCTCCAGTTTTCCTCCCTCCAAAAAACCATGCTAAATTCCAAATTGTTTTGCAAGTTAACTATGCCCTGACTTTGATCAGCCCAGAGGTTGTTTTAGGGTTTGATCTGTGTAGCTGGGCCTGACTTTGATCAGCCCAGAGGTTGTTTCAGGGTTTGATCTATGAGTTCTCTAGCCATGCTCTGACTTTGATAAAGTATATACATGTAAGGTATGGATAAGGTATCAATAAAACTTAGTATGAGAGCTCTATACTCACTTAATCTGGGACTGTGATGCAGCATTCAGAAATGGAAGCAAGGGGGACTTTGTGCCTTGCATCGTCTGTCCAGGAATTTTCATAAACTGGAGCCCAAGTATAGCTATCCCAGCCTCTGCATCAACCCCACTAGTTTTATCACTGTCTATTATATCTTGTTCATATTCCTCTTTTTGCCAACTGGGATTGCTGCTTATAATGGCAGGCCCTAGAAAAAACAAGTGCCATATGAGTCAGGAAACAGCACACAACTTAATAACCAATTAATACAGATTGAGAGAGAGTAGGTTAGATAGGCATATTTTGGGATATTGGGCATTTTCTAGGAGTCTTAAAAATTTAATGATTTACAGATTTCTTAAAAATTAATACGATCAATCCAAATTATTAAAGGCAGAAAAAGAGGTTTATAAATAGTTGACTGATTATGGTATGGTATTTGAAGATCATTACGATGTCTGTAAGTACCATATTAACTACTTATTTCCAAATGCATCTTTAAAAAAGAAAAATCAACAAACAAATAAAATAACAACAATACAGTCTTACAATTATTAATTAATTAAATAATAGAGAAAATTAATTAATTATTAAAGAAAGTAATTGAGTTTTGGTTTTAAATATTTTACATATTTACAAATGCATCCTAAGTTTAGATTGCAACAGACCAGTTTTGAATTCCAAATTACCGCTGTGTTCCTTGATTACAGACTCATTTGCACAGGGTTAGCCTCGTATCAGTAATATAAATATTCACAAATACCAACAGAAAAGTAAAGAATGTACAACTTCAACAATACAAACATGTTGAAACTCGACGGACCTTGACTGGAACACGTAAATATTCTGCACAAACTCGAGGCTAAACCTGTGCAAATGAGTCTGTAATCAAGAAACAAAAGCGGTTATTTATAATTCAAAAGGGGTCTATTGAGATTTCAAAAGCCCTACCTTTTGTTGTTGTATCTCCAAGTACTTTCTGTTTATCCAAGGTTTTCTGAAGGTTTTGGCTGATATCAATTTCATGCATGCAGCGGAAACTGCTGTCTTGACCAAGACCATACACTCGAACCTTAATAATTTCAGATATACATCATTTAGTTGACCAAATTAACTTATAGGTTTTCCCATTTTATGGATATATATGTAACGAAATTAACAAATTGCTCATGGATTAAATCCATTGTCTGTCCTCTTATTGATCAAAGATGACGTCTTAAAATGTTCAAAACCTCAGAAGCTTGCAGAAAGATGGAAAAGGATAGAATAACTTCAAATTTTATACAGCCCTGAAACATCCACTGGGCTGGTCAAAGTTAGGGTAAAGCCAACTTACAGATCAAACCCTGAAACAACCTTTGGGCTGATCTAAGTCAGGGCAAGGCTAACTTAGCACAGATTCAATTGGATTTTAGCTTGTTAGGTTATGGAGGGAGGAAAAAATGAGAACCTGGAAAAAGACCCTTGAACCAAGGGAGAGTCCTAACAAATTCTACTCACAGGTGATGCGGAGTCTGGGAAGTGAACCTGATACCCTAAAGGTGAGAGGAGAGTGCACTACAGCTACTCAATGTAACCCTTGATCACCACAGATAGTTATTCATCTACATTAGAAAAATGTTAACCAACCTTGCCATCAGTTGATCCCAAGGCCATACAGTGCTGTGCTGAATCAAAAGCAAGAGAAATAAAGGGAAAACCTGAAAGAAAAAAAAATTTGTTTCAATCCCTTTACAGTGTATATAATGCTAGCAGAAATTAGAATTAGAATTTTGTCAGCCAATGGCTAACATAGCTTCCTACGTATATGTTATTTGGGTTGTCACACAATGTTTCTCTCATGAGGCCAGGGAGAGAAATGCAGAGTGGCGGCATGACAACCTTAAGAACATTTGCGTAGGAGTAGAAGGCTATTGACAAAACAAGTGGATAGAGTTCAGGGATGAATATTCATACAATTGGTTCTTTTTGGGTACAAATATAATTTCTTTTTTAATAAACCCCTGATGTGGTATAGAATATAAAGTGTATAAATAGCCAACATACATACCGGATACGATAGGTGACTGATATACCAGACATGACTCCTGGATATCCCAAACCTAGATGTCCAAGACAAAAGATATTACCTTGTAGTAAACATTATTTTTTTCGTGTCTAAGGCTAGGTCTTCCATGCAATAACACTATTTAGTAAAAATACACAGGTGATTATTGAAAATCTCATGCCCTGATTGGTCGAGAAACTCACACTATCACACGATAATCACCTCCAGCGATAATCCAAAATGGCGGCCAGCCACTTTGTTGCTGTTACTGGGAAAAAATGTATTTTATCTTCTTTTTTTGTCCCTTTCTTTTTGAAAGAATCACCTGTGTATTTATACCAAAACAATTATTTGCCTCTGCAGCCTCAATGGATAACTCRCATCTCAGTAAATATTCCCCAATATTCACTTTGCCTTCACCAAATAATTGTTAAATAATATTACTCAAGAGGATGAATAAGATTACAGCAATTTTTTTGGTATTTGTATTTGTATTTATTAGCTTTTCCCATTAGGGCAAGGAGACCACAACAGCTTTTTGCCAATTACAGTTGGCCCTGTAGAGTTTAGAATTTTTTATTTATCATACTAATACCTCATTCACAAGCAACATTAGCTAACCTGGTTTTGTTATTCATTTCTCTATCCTACTTTTTTCCTTGTTTGCCATCTTTAAACAAAATTAAAACTACTTCCCTGAGGAAGTTTAGTTAAACAAGGGTTGAAACTTGCATGTTGCAAATGTCTACCAAAGTAGTTTGTTTAAACAGCTTTAGGTTAAGGACGTGGTCTGATATGAACTGCTGGGGTATTAGTTATGACAATGTATGCCATGCCCTAAATATATAGAAGGGTCACATGACCTCCCATTATGTCTTGGGTTGTCATATTAGGTTAAACTAAGCTAAATATCATTGAATCATGGTTGTTGTACCTTATAGGTTCTGTCTTCTGCTATTGATATTATTATACATTCATTCCAAGGACAAAACTGAGCTTGTGTCAATGGACTTATGTGCCCTTCGAGAACAGAATCCAACTTGCATGTCTTTTTAATGGAAAAAAAGAATGAATTCTTTGATTGCATGTTACAAAGGTACCATTTAACAAAAAATTCCTTTAAGGTTTCTTCGTATGTAAGTGTCATTAAATATTGAGTTGTTGTTTCATCTTCAGGCATATATTTCTCAACATGCATTGTTAACAGCACTAAAATGGCTGCCATGTTTTTTGTCTTTTGACTCTCTTGGGAATGCTTGCAGTCCGTCATTATTGTTTACTCAAAATAATTTGGTGCATGCATACAAGGTCAGTTCCTTAAGGGTCACTGGGATAGGATAATGCTCCAGTATAACTACATGAGCAAAATTCTCTGGATTAAACCACCATTAGTAGCTAAGTAATTCGCAAAATGTTCACTTGGTTAACTGGACTCTGTGGCAGTTCATGATCTTCTTCTATTATTTCAAAACTTAATGAGAACCTTGTGCAGAGGTGCAAACAAAAGTGAACTACACAACACCATATTTAACAATACCCTCAAAGCAGTGGTCTTTTTCTATTCTCTGTATTATAGTGGAAAAAAACTGCATATATACCTCAATATTCAAGATCCAGACCTCCTTGCCAATACAAGCAGAGATTAGAATATCTGATGAATTGAAGCTTATGTGCTGCACATTTCCAAGATCCTTGCCGACACAAAGAGGCCTAAAAGTTTCATCTTTATCTAAAAACAAAATGATCAGTGTCCAGGAAATATGATTACGAATGAATATGAATTAACAAACAAAGCAATATTACCATGGCAACCAGAGCTGTAATTAGCATATCCCTTGGTAATATTCCAAATATAGATAAAGTCTTCCGATACCGTGCAGAGTAACATTCGTTTTCTCTTGTTCCCAAAGCAGACACATGTTACGAGCTTCTTGTGTCCTGATAGTTGTAAAGGCTGATAATGAGAAATAGGAAAGGTAAATGAAAAAATAGATGGACATCTTTTCTCATTTCTGTACTTTCGTCCTTGTTGCCATAGCAACGGTTTAAAACTCAATGTAAGTTTTGTACCGTGTTTGTTAATCTCACACCTCATCATCCACTTTATACTTTTACAAAAGAATTAACAAAATCGGTAACTATAAGATTATCAAGGCGCGAATACCAATGCATTCAGAGCTGTAAAGTCAGTCACTTTCCCAAAAATAAGCTTAAAAACACGAAATTACCAAATAATGTCCTACATTTTTAGATAGATTCGGTATCCACCAAACACCAATAGTTGTCTTTGAGAGAGGACATGCAATAAACTGTTCATTACTGGCTAGTTGTCGACAACCATTGCAAGCAGCTCGAACAACTCCTTCATGACTTACCGCCATTTTGTTTGAATCATTTGTAGCATACCACAGGAAGCCCCAGTTGGGTATTTGAAGCAAAAGTAACACAAAGGGTTTTAATATTCTTCAAATTAACTGAAACCGTTACCAGCCTAAGAAAATGGCATAAAAAATACCTTAGGTAAGTTTTAACGCTTTTTATTAAAATTTATTTACATAATGATCAGATGAAGATTCACTGCTAATAAACACAGAGGTTGGGCTTCCTGTGATTTCACATGCAAGATGGCGTCCAGTAACACTGGTCAGGCTCAGCAGAACCAGGATCCTGAACACATTATCAAGCTAAAACAGCTTATACATTTCCTTGAAACCACTCTTATGGTAACCAACAATCTTAAAATTCCTATCCTTAACCGTCTACCTTTTATATTACTTTATAAAACGCTTGAAATATGTATTTATAAACATAATATGATCACGAACTTTACAACATGGATGCACAAATTTTATCTTCCATTATAGTTTATCGCCAACATACCTGTAGCTTGGATTTTTTAAATAATAGGGGAGTGGGGGGGGGGGGGGGGGGGGGAATGATTGAAAATCAAATGAATACTTGAAAGCGTAAATTTTATTAATTTATATTTTGCTGTTGTTTTTCAGACGCTAATGCATCAAGCTGATGCAGCTCTGCAGCAAAATATGGATTCAGTTAGTTCTGGGTGAGTTATTTTCACTATATATTTTACTGGTTTTTTTTACAGATAATTATGAAATAATTATCGTGATATTTATGAATCACATATGTATTAATACCATTTTAAGCCTGAAAGCTGCTTATTTGGTTTAAATTTCTGTCTATTTTTCTTCAGAAAAACAGCTGATGAGAATCCTCACAAACTGGAAAGTTCCTTTGAGGATTTCATGAATATGTGTGACCAACTGGAAGATCTTTTGGTGAGTTTTTTAAAAACTTTTTCACACAGCAACCACGTTGACTTTGACTTATAGTTAATAGAGGGGAACTATTAACTATGGTTGACTGGAACAATAAATTTTCCCCCTGCTTAGCCTCACATTCAAGCCTGAGGGTTGGGGTACTCTTCCCCATTTAGGGTAGGGATGTGCCGCTGAGCCCTCTGAACCCTGACCCTGTTCCAGAGGAAAATTGCTGAAATTCATACCCTGTTTAAGAGCAAGATCGCTGAAAACTGTACCCTTTTCCGGTAGTGCGAAAATAGATACCCTTTTCCAGAGAGGAGAAAGCGTGATTTCATATACCCTGTCCGAGAGCGAGCGCGATTTTATATACCCTGTTCCAGAGTAGAACCGCTGAAAACCATACCCTGTTTGACGACACATACCTGTATAGCGAATATAGGGGAGAAACCACCCTTCCCCCGGGCATTCAAGTGCTTCAGGATGAGGTTATTAGTGGTTAAACAAAGATTTTTTCTCATGGGGAAAAACATGGCAGTCTGATCCATTGACATCTATATTGAATTTGTGGGATTATTGTCATAGTAAAGTAAATTTTAGTGAATGTCAATAAAGATATCAAGGATACATGCCTATGGAATGTTATCATGTCTTGATTGACATCCACCAAAAATTTCTGGAGAACTAGAAGAAAAACCCTCAAATCCAGGGAAAAACACCTAACAAACTGAGCTCATATGTGATGCTGATTCCAGGCATCAAACCTCTGAACCCATAAGTGAGAGGCAAGTGTACTACTGCTAGGCCACCCTTTTGATTACCTGTGAAGAGAAAAACAGCCTACTTTTCTTCTCCCTTCTCCCCACTTACTTGACTCCAATGCATGAGCATCCACGGGAATTCCAAAACACTCCCCCTTACTGAGTTTGGAGGGAAAGTGGGACCGCTCGCAGTCTACCATTTCTATGAAGTCGTAACCATGCTTCTTGGTTTCCTTGTACTGATAACTACATTTCACCTTTCACCTTTTTTAAATCAGGAGACAATGAAAGCAACTGAAAGACAAACAGTTCTGAGTATGAAATATACTCCAAGATCAGTAACAAATACCAAGATGGATGCAAACCAAGACACACAGTCATACTCAGAATACCTTAGTTTGGTCAAAAATCAAATTACTTTATCTAACGATCTCCAGGAATTGTTATCTGATTTTGTCAAATCTAAGCTTACTTGACAATTATGATCCCAATACTACATTTTATAGAGATTTATGAATAATCCTAATAGTGGTTTTCAATATTAATGGAGAACAGATTGAGAATTTTGAGTAGTGAGGCTCACCTCAAAACAATAGTCAAATTTTATACTTTAGGCGATACTATTTCACTCATTTAGATATCATACCTTGGTAGGAAAGAAGGTATGGATGCCTCTGAATGTACCCTAGATCTGCTCCTGAATAGAATATATTGCAGTTAATAGGGCAATTTTTTTATTTTGTTTGATAATGGCACAGGTAAAATAAAATGAGTTTTCTGTCAAGAGCTATGTCACCACTGCCCATTGCTATATGCTGTTCGAGACAAAAGCTGTGACTCGTAAATCAGGGCCATAACCAAGGGGAGTGTTTTGGGTGCTCACGCACCCCCCCTCACCCCAGTACAAGCTGTAAGTTTGCTCAACATTCATTATTGGATCTTTTTTTTTTGCTCCTGGAAATGACTGGAATTTCATAGCACTTTTAAAATGGTTGTTAGTTTAGACATTCCCATTTCCATTTGATGAGTGCGCCCCACCCCGCAAAACCCCAACTGACTACTGTCAAACAAATAAACTGAGAGTATGTAAAGGTACATGGAAAACTACTCTAATGATCTATTTGATTGACAGTTATGTATTGCCGATTTATCTGTTGCGACATTTTGTCTCAATCAGCACATAGCAATGAAAACAGTGGTAATTATTGTGTCTTTCACAGATAATAGATTCTAAAATTAGTTAAATTAAAATTTATACCACAAATATCCTTACATTCAATGTACTCAGGGTAGAATTCTTGTAGATTAGATTCAGAATGAATTGTAGTATAGTGTAAATAATAAAGTTGGAATACGTTGAGAAAATGTTGCCTATTTGTTGTTGTTGTTATTGAAAATCCATGAAAGGATAAACAATTTTAATTAAAAGGTCTGGTTTTTATAATTT